ACACCAATCATATATATATATATATATATATATATATATATATATATATATATTTATATATTTTGAAGAGACTTATAACTGAACTCATTGTTTTATTTTCAATCTTCATAAATGCTAAGTTAATATATACATATTAAATAAAATCTAAATAGTACATAAGGTACACAAAACTATATATTTTAGTTAAAAAACGTGTCAGTAAATAAAGTGCAGGTTACAAAAATTTTAAATGTTCAAAGTAAAATAACTGAATAAGTGAGTATAACAAAGAAAAATATTTATACCATTTCTACAGAAATTTCATTGATTTGAGAGTATGTGTTTATTTTTTTATCATGTGTAAATTAATAAAATGATTGTTTACATAAAAAAAAAATCAATAAAAAGAAGACAAATAATAGGTTTCAATAGGAATTTAAAAATTTTACCTTGACAAAAGTTTGATATTATATTTTTGCTACTTTTCTAACAATTTATAGTTTCTATAGAATGTAAAACTAGTCAGTAATATTTAAGGTAGATGTATATTCAAAGAGAATATGGCAAAAGATATACACCTACAGGAAAAAAACTTCACATTGTTATTTCAATTTTCATAAATATTTTTTGCCATCAAAAAGAACCAAAATTCTAAGAGTTATTTGAATACAATACATAAAACTGGAGATACCAGTGTTTGAAAACACTGTTTATGCCTGTTACTTCATAAAATAGAAATTTTAATGCTCACTTCTTTCAAATTTTAAAAATCTATTTAAATTAAAATGTACTGGAATCATTATAAATATTTTAAATGAAGTGAAATAGTGTATTTATTTTATTTAATTTTTCAGTTAGGCAGTTATTTATTAAACTTAAATTACACTGTAATCAAACAAGTGAAGATAAAACTCATTTACATTAGTGAATTAACAAATAAAAAAATGACTAGACAAATATAGCTTTATTTGGTAACTTACTTATTTTTATTACTTATTATGTTATGCTTATGGGTTTTAAAAAAAATTACTTTTTTTGCAGATTCTCAAATAGTTGATTTGGAATTTAATTTCTTGTCTTTTTTATAAGCTTATGTACATATATACAACAAAAAATAATGAACATATCACAATTCAATTAAACAATCATTATATTCATTAATTTTTATTAAATCTTGTTCCTCTGAAAGATACTCTAGTTTTTGAAGATTTTAACAGTGTTTTAAAATTTTAATTCAGTAAACAACAACCAAAATGCAACTGGCGAGTAGGCTCAGTTCTGTTTGAAATGAAAATTAATATTTTCATTTTCTTAACAAAGAAAAAAATTAAATAAAAAAAAAAAAATTTAACATTTCAAATTATTACAGTATGTCTATTTAAGTTGGGAGTTATTTAGTATAAGATTTTTTTAGTATGTATACCACAATACCACATATGCTTAACCCAGTATTAATTATAGGTTTCTACCCATTGATTTTCACAGTCTCAAAAATGGAATGGAGAACATTAATAGTTTAATAAATCTATAATAAATAAAGGAAGTATAAAAATTGTATATCAAATATAGGAGCATGTTATAAGGATTCCCATTAAGGCACTTTAGCCAATATTTTGATACTAACAAAAAATAATTTTGTAAAGTTTAATTATACCCAAACATTAAGGTCAAAAATCAAATCAAAATGATTACAATATTTTTCTTAGCAATAGAAATCTAATAAAAATGTTCACAAGTATTTGTACCTTTTTTTTTAATGAATAATGGATTATATTGATTATTCTCATCAGAATAATTATCACCCAAAAACTTCCTATTTTCAATGTGGCAAGGTGCTGCATGTCAATTCTCATCTATACAATATATTTTGAATGATAAATAAAAATATTCATCCATTTGGCATAAGAGTTTGATTTTTTTGGCACTTATAACCAACAACTACAACATAATCAATTAATGCACCTGTGAGATCTTTTATGATAAGCTAGTCATTGGAATTTGTTACATTGAAAAACAAGTTTGTTTTATTGTTTATTGAAATTTATTATTAATGGAATACTGATGATTTGTAACAGGATTAGGAAAGAAATCCAGTGTAGTAAAGAAAACACTCTTCAGGTTTCAATATTTACAAAACTCAATAACATGAAACACTTTCTAATCTATTTTCTTTCTGAAGATCTAATAAAGTCAGTTTTTTTTAATTAGTTTTTATTAGTCTTTTCTTTTTTTTAACCCAATAAAGTAATTAAAAAAAAAAAAAAAAAAAAAAAAAAAAAAAGAAAAGAAGAGAGTTTTACTAATTATTTTTTTTTTTTACTACATATATCTCAGGATAATCCCCAGGGTGTTATTTTCTGTATATTTCTTTTTATCATTAAAATCATATAAAGATAAACATAGTTTTCTACACAAGCATATTGTATGCTTGAAATTAGTTCCAAATTGGAAGAATTAAAAAGAGTAATAAATCCGTTAAGGGAGTAATATTTAACCCCTTAAGAGGCAAATTAAGAACACATAAGGAGTTCTTCATTTGCAGGACATTTAATGATTCTTTTTCTTACAATTTTAATATTGCTAAGCAATTAGGTATCAGAATTTACAAAAAAAAAAAATAAAAAAAAAAAATAAAATAAAATAAATAAAAAAATAATTAAAAATTCAGAACTAAATTTCTGCAAATAAATTTAAAATGCATAAAAAAATGTCAAACAAAATTAGTATGTTTCAAAGTCAGTATTTATCAATTTGTTATGGTATTGTGTTAGAAAGTCACCTGAAAACTATTCAATGTCATCAAACAGACTTGTGTATAATTAGTAATCATGGTAACAAATTAATGAACACGACATTAATGGTGATTTGATTTCTACCACAAAATTTGCCTAATACTTATTTAATGTAATAATTCTTAGATTATTCTAAATAGGAATAGATTTCAAAGTTCCCAATTATTCTGGATATGGAAGACATACTCAATGTAGAGGCAAATAAAAAAAATTTAATCATTTGAACATTTTCCTACTTTATTTATATGGCTTAGTTATGATTTATACAATGCTTATCAAAATAAAAACTAATGAAGTGTATGTATATATAGAATTGACACTGAGGTCAACATCAAGTGGTGACAGTGTTTCATGCTGTATGAAACAGACTATAGCCATTTGGTGTTGATAAGTGTACACTTTTCTATTTACACACATTCTATTCTGGATATTGAGCACCATTACCCATAAATATAGCATAATTTAAAACTATATCTTATTATATATATATATATATATATATATATATATATATATATATATTGAACAAGCACACTATTTTTTCAATTGCTTTCAATAATATTAATAGTATCAGATTTTAGATCAAAGGACAACAAAGAATTCACTATATAGAGCATGTAAGCATTACAGTAGTATTGTTATTTATCATTGAGGGGCTTTCGCAAAAACAAATGTTCCAATTATTGTTACATACTTGCTTACATTCATTAGAAGCAAAAAAAAAAAAATCATTCTTTTAATCTCAAAAAATGTATGCAAACAACTTTGATACAAAAATTTATCTTCAAATCTTAAAAGATATAAAAAAATGAAACATACATTATATAGACAATACTCTAACAAGTCAAAAATTAAATTACTGATGTTTTTTTATGTTTGGCAGTCAATCCCTTTTGTCAGTATCAATTTCATGTCCAAATTTTAAAGTGAACTATCTCAGGAGATAATCACTGCTTCATTGATAAGTTTGTAGGAAAATTGGTATACATTAAAAAACATAAGATAAAACTATGAAAAATTCATTATTGTTTACATACTTCATTCCTAGTAAAATTCTAGTTAGGATTTATTTTATTGAATTAATAGACCTTATTTCCACTAATTAATAAAACTAAAACTATCAGAATTTCTTTTGGTTAAATTCTCACATAAGAATAAACAAAATCAATATATGCACCTAAAACAATGCAATTTCAAGTTCTTCAAAATATTAAGAAATAAGATAGTAATCACTTTCAAAAATTGTAAAGAATATACAAATCATATTTTTAAGTTAAAGTTTAATAGAAACTAAACTAATAGAAATATGGAGATTTATTTAATTTATATTTTTAAAGGAAAAATATTTTTGCATTTTGTTATATCATTAAAAATGTTTAATTTTTATTTTCCTAAGTAAAATGGTGTTATATAAAATTAATATTAAGAAATTGTAGAAGTAAACTCATTGTATGATTGGAAATAACAAAAAGTTCTCATGCTGTCTATCTCGTACACTTTTATAAATATGCTTGCTTCAGTATATTTGCTTCTACAACAGGTTAATTTGGAATAAAATAAATATGAAATTTTAAAACAAATTCTGTAAAAGAACAAAAATCATCAAAATAGTATCAAACAAAAAAATTCTTATAAAAAAAATATATATTCTTATACAAGAACACATCATTTAGTTTGAAAGTCTGAGAAATTATTTTGGAAATTTTCAAGTATTCTTTTTTTAGAAAGAGTAGAAATTATTTAAATGCAAAGATTTAAAGGTAAGACTGAAGCTATTCAAAGAAAACAAATACTCTAAAAAGCAAATTTTCATCAATTTATCCTAAACTTAAACATGTAATAAATTTGCTTCATAATAATAAATCAACAAAATTTTTTCACCAAAAGTTAAGAAATTCTTGCATTTATTTTCATTATAGTTAAATTCATTTAAAATTTAAATTCTCTAAAGCTCAATACATAATTGACAAATTACAATAAACTCAAAGGCTTTTTAACAACCAATCTAATGCCATACATTCATAGATTACATTCAGTTATCTACATTAAAAGTTGGTTTTTAGGTTCAGAATTAAAATATTTCATAGCAGAATTATATCTTTAAATCTAACAACTGAATCTTAAGCATATCTTGTCAGAGAGAATATCAAAAACTGATAGAGGAAGCATTATACCAGATAAATTACCATCACAACAAGATCAGCTTGAGTCTGTTAAAATATTTGCTACCTGAGGTCCAGACCTGCTGGTGGAAGTCCCCAAATGTGATGTGTCATCATTATTACTATCATTGTTACAATTATCTTCTTGATGTCGCTCAGTAGCAATAGTCCGATTTTCTGTTTTTTCTAAATGTGTGTCTTTTTTGTCATTCTTCTCATTGTCATGACCATTCATTTGGCTAAATGAACTGTCAACTGTATTGTCTTCATATTGTTGGCCCTCTTTTAAATGTGCCTCATGGGAATTGTTATTGTTAGGGGTGGTAGCAGTAGAAGTGGAAGGTGTGGTGACAGTGGTAATGGTAGTAGTGACAGTAGCAATACTTTTTGCATCATCATTAGCAACATGGCTAAATTTAGAATCGTCTTTTTTCTCTAGAGAAACACTTTTTATGCTAGATTTATCATCTGATGCAATTGAATCAGAGTCAGACATTATTGCATTTTTTTTCTGTTTTGTCACGGTGTATTGACGGGCCACATTACCAGATTCTTCATCAGAATCCGAGTCCAACAATTTTTTAAAATTCATTTTCTGTGTTGAGGCACGACAAGACCTGCGAACACCACTTTCTAAATGACTACTGGAAGAAGATTCACTGTCACTTACAGCAAGACGTCTCTTTCGGGTTAATTTCTTCTGATTATTATCAGAAACTCCACTTACAGAGGATCTGCTGCTTTTATCATCATCATTGTCATCATCATCATCATCAGAAAGAGATTCTCGAATAATTCTTTTAGTCTTCTTTTTTGCTAGCTTCAATTTAATTTTTTTATTTGGTTTTACACTGTCATCAGAACCTAAATCAGAAAATTCTGCACTACTTTCTTCACTATCTTCATCTTCTGTAGGTGTCATTTCATCTTCTTCATCACTTGCTTTTTCTCGATAATTGACTTTTCTTTTGACAGATGCACGTGTGGATCGTCGATAGTTAGCACTCTCTTCACTGTCATAGTCATCATCTACAACTGAAAAAATAAAATAAAAGTCTATGAATTTAAGAAGCTTAGAAAAAATAAAGTCATGTTTACAACACTTATTAAATTTTAAAGTGTTTTCTTTCCTTTAAATGTATTTTGTGACTAAATACTATATCTATATAGATTCACAACTGCTGTTAGAATATACAATTTACTTTTGGAATGACAGTTTTATTTTTTTAGCTTGACACAAACAATGATTTTTTTGATTTTTTTTTTTAAAATGGACGAAAGCAAAAAAATTTTATAAACTTAAAAATCTTCATGATGTCCAAAATATTTGTATGGAATTACTGAGACCAAATAAGTGAAATGTAATTGACTATTAATTACAGTGCCCATAAAATTTTTTATAACATTTAAATCCATAGAGCTGTGTCAAAATATTAATGGATTTTTTTTTCTATTTCACAGGGTTCATTCACTATTTAATATTTTTTATGCATCTGGAGTGTATATAAGTCATTTAATAAATTGCTTATGATGTATTACTTTTGTAAAAGAATACAACTAGTAACAGATTTATAGAAGAGTAGTTTGTTCAAGTGTTCACTAATTTATTCAATCATTATGGCAAGTTAGGCTATGTAAATTTATCCCTTGGTGCTAAAGTATTGGTGCTAAATAAATACAAGCCTTTGCCAAAATTTGAACTTAGTTTGCCAAATCATTTTTCCATGTTGACACACTACCATCCACACACAAAAAATGTTTGTTTAGCATTTTTGTGAGTTTCTCTTGGTGTCAAATAAGTTGTTTGGTGGAAACTTGCAAAGGAACTTGCTGAAATTGTGTGTAATGTTCAGAATAATTTCAATCATTGATGGTCATTTTCAAGTAAGGAAGGTAAAAGTTGGGAGATAACCAGTAGAGCATTTAATTTAATAATCCAGGGTTTGAAATGAACGTATGTTCATGTTTTATGGCGGTGGAATAGATTTTAGTGTTATATGACTGAAAGAATCTTACCTTAGTCACAAGGTGCTAAAATTTATTCCACTTCCATAGCATGTGCAATGTTCATTTCAAACTCCAGACTATTAACATAAATGATCCACTAGTTATCTATTGATTTCTACTGTCATTCCTTGAAAAGTACTTGGGACATTCATTTACAAGGTTCTACCAAACATCAAATAAATTATTCTTTTGGTTATTATTCCACTCACCAAAAGACTTAATAGACCTTCCTTGTCTGTTCTTTTTAATTTTTTTTTACATGGTACTGAAAAGTTCTCAAAATCTGAACAGACAGACATTTAAAAACTACTGAATCATATTTCCATGTGCAATTCACTACTTAAACAAATAAAATATTTCATTTCTTATACAAATTTGTAATGGGCAATGAAAAGTGGATACTTTACAACAACATGAAATTGTGGAGTAAGCAAACTGTAGTGATGCTGTGGATATTGATTTGAATAATTACTGTTCCTATTTGAAGGCAACAGTGGCTGAAAAGCATTTAGAATTAGCTAAGAGTAAAGGCTTAATATTCCCTCAGATCACGTTTCTTCAATGACCAAGCAAGGATTTTGTAACATAGTTAGGAAGTTTTCACCCATTACTTTATTCACCAGATATTGTACTTTATTTATTACAATTTCTTTGTCTTTACAGAATTCCCTTAATGAAAACCAATTTCAATTTCCTGGAAGATTACAAAAGGGGCCTAGAAAAATATTTGGCCAAGAAAGATGAAAATTTTGGTAAGATGGAATTAAGAATTTGCCTGAAAGATACCAGAAGCTAGTGGTACTAAATGGCAAATATACTGACAGAAAATGTAGTTGCAAAACTCTGAAAAACAATGAGAATTTTTATCTGGGCATAGCATATGCATGCTAGAGATAGTAAATGCAGTGAGAAAGTTCAGTAAGGTCATGCCATGGAAATACATAGCTACTCCTTTTGTTCAGTTAGTTTAACAGCATATTAACCTCAAAGTGTTATTTAATGCCAACAAGATTTTTCTGATAGGTTTTGTATGAATAGAGTATGTATTCTTTGTAAGGAATCATTTAGTAGATCAGGTTTCATTGATATATTTTATAAAGAGGGATTTTGTCAAGAGTCAAATGTATTGCTGGAAATAATTTTTCCTCCCCAAATAGGTCACAAAACAATATAAGTAAGCAGTTTTGGTAAACAGTTTTTTTTTTTATATTTTCCCCGTAAAGCCCAATTTCTTTAATGAAATTTATGATGTTGTTTGGATTGGTATTTTCAAATAGATCCTTAAGATTTGTAGAGTTTGATTCAGGTTTGCTGGAAGTTACAGTAATTTAGTAGAATGTGTTTAATGGTATATGGTTCCTGGCATGCGACACATATTAGCGGTTCTTCATTTTTTAGTAAATGATAGTGGGTTATGGTTTGGTTTGGTTTGTTTTACAGCATATCAACCTCAATGGCTTATTTAATGCTGACATTTTTATTGCTGGTAAAAATTTTTTTTTTTTTTTTTCAAAAAATGTATTGCTGGTAGTATTTTTTTTCCTTCAAAAATCTATTTCTTCAAAAATGTATCACTGGTAATATTTTTTTTTTTTCCAAAAATGTTTTGCTGGTAATAAGTATTTCTGGTATTAAAACCTATTTTTACACTTTCTTAGTGTTTTGACCCAGGTTTGGGGATTAACTGTTTACCCATAGCTGGGACCCTAATAGGTGCTACCACCCCGGGTCAGTGTGGACCCGGGAACACCAGCAATTAAGGTGGTTCCATGCTCCTCAAAACCTCCTTATCAGAGGCCTTGCTGTCTTACCCAGGACGTGGATGTAGTTTATCGTAGCGAGTTATGTATGTATGCATGTATGTATGTATGTCCTATATGAAGTCTGGCTGGAACCACCTACTCTCGCCTTATCTTTCTGTAACTTGACAGTCTTTCACTGATGATTGGTTGGATGTTGAGAAGTTTATTGTTTATACAGTTGTTCCATAATTACTGACATTTTTTTTAATGGTTCTGTTTATGCTGGGTTGGAAGTTGGCGTGTGGCACCTTTACATTGTTCAGCATGTTCAGCGATTCCTTTGCCACTTTGTCAGCTTTTCCATTTCTTTGTATGCCAATATGGCTCAGTATCCAGTATAGGGCTATTATAACATCTTTTTCCTTATAAATAGAGTCAACCCTATTTAATAATTTATTTATTAAGGGATTTCCCATGTTTTTATTCTTCAGAGCTGTGAGTACAGATAGTGAATCTGAGATGATGAATCTATCTAACTCACTAGATTCTATAATATCCAAAACAAAGTGTATGGCTGAGGCTTCTGCACTGAAGATTGAGGCTTTGTTAGGTAATCGATTCTGTATTGTTATGGTGTTAAGGATAGCAGAGATCCAACTCTGTTCAACATTTCAGAGCCATCTGTGTATATATGTTTATGATTTGGGTGAGCTTGTAGAACATTATGGATTTCTTCCATGTAATCAGATAAATTAGAATTAATTTTAGAGTATTTAGTAAGGTTTAGCAAAATAGTAGAGTATTTCACTAACCAGGGTGGGTTTTTGAGGTGGTGTTTTTGAGAAGTAGGGTTGGATTTGTGTTTCGATAAGATTTTTCATGTAAAAGACAAAAGGTTTGATAGCATTTTCTTTTTTTATCAAACAGAAATTTGTATTTAGGGTTGAAGGTACAATAGTTGGGAGTGTTAGATAGGCATGATTTGAGTTTTAGATAATACTATAATGCCAGTTTTTCATATCTCAATTTTAATGGTGCCTCATGGGCTTCAGCATATAAACTTTCTATGGGTGATGTCTTAAAAGCACCCAGAGCCAGTCTTAATCCTGCATGGTGAGTGGGGTCAAGGGTTTTTAGATATGAATTCCAGGTCAACCGATATATGAAACATCCATAGTCCAGTTTAGATCTTATTAGAGTTCTATATAATTTTAGGAGTGACATGCAATCTGCTCCCCAGTTGGTGTTAGCCACAACCCATAGTAATTGTAATGCTGTGAAGCATTTCTCTTTTATGTATTTTAAGTGGGGGATGAAAGCAAGTTTTTTATCCAAAAAGATTCCCAGAAATTTATGTTGATCAGTCATTTCAATTTCTGTTCCTTCAAGTTTAAGAGTTGGATCATTGTGCATTTTTACTGATTGCAGAATCAGTAAAAATGTTTTGATTGGGGAGAATTTGAAACTATTTTTGATAGATCATCATTTTAATTTATTTAAGCATACTTGCAGTTGTCATTCTCCTGTGTGCATATATTTTGATCTGTAGCAGATCAGAACATCATCTAAATATGATGAACCACCGACACCTTGACTCAAGCAATTAACAATGTTGTTAATTTTTATATTAAAATGAGTGATGGACAAGACGTAACCTTGTTGAACTCCTTGCATATTTGAGTCCAAGAGTGTTGATCTAACCTGAGCTTTGAAACTTTTATCAGACAAAAAATTATGTATCGAATTGAGTAATCTGCCCTTTAATCCCAGATTATATAGGTCTTTCTTTATTTCGTGTTTTCATGTTGTATCATAGGCCTTTTCTAGATCGAAGAAAATGGCTACTGCATGTTCTTTTTTTTTAATGAAAGTTTCTTGGAGGACCATGTTGTTTATAGTGCCTCTTATTTTGGAATCAACTCTGGAGATTCCGAATTAAACCATTAGTTTCAATCTTTTATTTAATATTCTTTCTAGGGTTTTGCATATGCGACATGTTAATGTTATGGGTTGGAAGTTTTTGGGGTTTGATTTGTCTTTATCTGGTTTTGGTATAGGGATCACAATAGCTTGTTTGCAGCTATTCAGTAGTTTTCCCTTAAACCATATCTCATTTAAGATGTTTAACAGATATTTTATGGATTTTCGGGAAAGTTGTTTAAGAAATTCATAATTAATTTCATCTGGATAAGTAGCTGTACTATGTGATTCACTTATGGCATCTATAAGTTCATTCAGTTAAAAGGATGGTTGTAATCTTCTTTGTTGTTTTGAATTAAAGTTCAG